TGATCGTTCTTTCTTAAGTATCCCAGTATGGGGCAGGATGAGTCCCTGAGTGTCGTAAATGGTTAAGTGCTTGACTAATAGCCAAAAAGTTGGTGGTTTGAACTGACCCAGAGGCACCTCGGAAGACAGACCTGGTGATCTGCTTCTGAAAGGTCACAGCCTTAAAAACCCTATGGAGCAGTTCTACTCTGCACACATGGGGTCACCATGTGTCAGAATCGACTTGATGACCACTAACAGCAATGACAACATGGGCAGGGATGGGGATAGTGAAAGGACAGGGGCCTCCTGGTAGTGGTAACAGGCCTGGTGCCCTCTGTGTTCCTACCTTCACCGGCCACAAACCTGCTCTGCCCTTCATGTGAAGCAGAGCCCCGTCGCGGCTGCCCTGGACGGGACAACCCGGCCCTAGCCCAACCCATCCTGGCCCTCCCTGCCCAGAGCCTGAGCAGGCCTCCAGGGAAGGGGCTGTCCATGCCCCCCACCTCACCCTGGGCTCTGACCCAACACCCCTGCTACAGATGGCCTGGAGTGGCTGAAGCAGAAGCTGTTCCACGTGAGTGAGGACTGGCACCTCCTGATGACCCTTGGGGTGCTCATGGCCCTCATCAGCTATGCCATGGACTTCGCCATTGGGCGTGTGGTCCGAGGTAACCTGGCACGCACACCCTGCTGTGGACCAAGGGCCTCTGGGCACGCTCTTGGGGATGCCAGATGGGCCGCCAGGCAGAGCCAGGGGTGGGGCAGGGAGGAGGCCTGGGTCTGCCCCTGGCTTTGCTCCTGACTCACTGTGCGACCTTGGGCAGCTCCTGCCCCTCTCTGGGCCTCAGTCTCCTCATGTGTGCAGTGAGTGAGAGAGACCTGAATGTTTCAAGAGCCTTTCCCTGTCTGAGCTCTGTGCCCACCTCTCATGCTACCCCTGTTCCTTCTTCTCCCTCCCCAGTTGCTCTCAGCTCAGTAACCCTCGGGGAGGACACTTGTCTAGACTACCAGGCATCAAGCTTTCTTTATGCCTCAGCAGGCTCTCTCCACCCTGAGGGCTCCCTGGAAAAAGGGGCAATGGGGCAGGAAGAGTCTAAGTCATCTTCTCCAGAAGCTTCCCCTAGCTGCCATAATGAGGATCTACTATGCGCCAAGCATCGTCTGAGGCACTTCACACCTGTCTCATTTAGTTCTCACAGTGACTGTGGGGTGGAGGGGTACCATCACTAGCCCATTTGACAGATGGGGAAACAGAGGCTCAGAGAGGTTGAGTTGCTTGCTCAAGGTCACTCAGTTGGGAAGTGGCAAAACTGGGATATGGACTCAAGGTCCTAACTGCTACCTCCTCTTAGGATCAGCCACTCCCTGGGTGGCCCTGGGCCCCCGTTCTTTGAGCCACCCTTTTCTGGCTGGTAACTGGGCATCGCATGTTGGGCCTGAGGGCTGCAAAGGGCGTGGGTGGCTCCCTGATTCCCTGCTGTCCCCAGCACACCAGTGGCTGTACCGGGAGATCGGGGACAGCCACCTGCTCCGGTATCTCTCCTGGACTGTGTATCCCGTGGCCCTCACCTCCTTCTCATCGGGCTTCTCCCAGAGCATCACACCCTTCTCCGGAGGTGAGTCCAGGGCGCCACCCCTTTGCACCTTGCACTGCAGTCCCCACTGGCCAAAGCCTTTTCGTACCCTACGGGGACTCTGATGGGGGCAGGCAGGAAGCAGTAACCCCATCTTACAGCCTAGCTCAGATGAGTCATGTTACTTGCCCCAAATCATACAGCGAGAAGGCCAGATATCTTGACTCCTGGGTCGCTGCTGGCTCTACCTGCTTTCTGGGGGCTCCTCTGGGCTGTGACAGGGAGGGCTGGTGGTAGGTCTTCTGCAGGGCCCATGCCAAGGACATCCCCCAGGTGGGGCTACTGGAGTGGCACAGCTCCCCCAGGCCTCTCTGCTCTGCCTCCAGCTCCAGGCCAGTAGAGGAGAGTGCCAGGGGTGCGTCCAGTGGTGGCCTGAGCTCCCGTCCTGGATCCCCCTAGCCCATCACAGCTGTCTGCCAGGACCCGATGGGAGTTCGTGGACAACTCACTTCCCTTCTCTGACCCTTAGCTTCCTTATCTGCAGTGTGGATTTATGAATCCTAACCTCACAGGGTTGGTGAGGATCTAACAAGCTCATGATATGAAAACACTTCTTGGTGCAGCATCAAGCTTTAGGAGTTTAAATATTGTCCCATCTCTTGGCCCCTGCCCCCCTACCCACGCCAAGGTTCTGGCATCCCGGAGCTGAAGACCATCCTGACTGGCGTGGTCTTGGAGGACTACCTGGATATCAAGAACTTCGGGGCCAAGGTGGTGGGCCTCACCTGTACCCTGGCATCTGGCAGCACCGTGTTCCTGGGCAAAGTGGTACGGGTGGGCATGTGCACCCCCACCCCATCCCACACTGCCTGGCGCTTCCTGCCCCCTTGCCTTTCCCCCATCACCCCGCCCGAAGCTGGGTCAGCCCTCCGGGAGCTCTTAGTCTTGGAGGAGGCAGGTCAGGTCCCCAGAGTGTGACAAAGGCCACTTCAGGACTCCCCTGGGGATTTGGGTATGGAGGAGGAGGATATGGGTGGGCAGCCATGCCACCACTGGCCCTGGGGTGAGGCTCTCTCTGCCCCCACCTCACATCTGAGGGGGAGGGGAAAGGGCCCTGGCTCCCCATAGGGTGCCCACCCTGCACCCACATCTCCCCTCGGCAGGGCCCCTTCGTGCACCTGTCTGTCATGATGGCTGCCTACCTGAGCCGCGTGCGCAACAAGGCCATCAGGGAGTCTGAGGTAAGGGGTGCAGAGTGAGTCCCCCCTTTGAGAAAAGGGGTTCCCAACAGCCAACGCTCGCGAGGGGAGAAACTGGGAGAAGCGGTGGCTGGCTCTGAGCCCAGGACTCGGATCCCCCCAGAACGACAGCAAGCAAAAGGAAATGCTGGTGGCGGCGGCGGCGGTGGGCGTGGCCACAGTCTTCGCGGCGCCCTTCAGCGGTGAGGCCCGGTCTCGCGCCTCGCCCCTTGCACCTCTTCCTCTCACCCCGCCCCCGGTACAGCTGGACCCCCCAGCTCCCCCCTCTGCCGGCTGAAAGGCCTGGGGGAGGGATGGGGTTCCTGCTGCGGGTGCAGCCACCCAAGGGCTGGGCTGGGGTGGGGTGAAGGGAAGCTTCAGGGTGACAAGAGACAGACTTGGGTTTGAAATCCCACTCCACCTTGTGTGCTCCTGGGCAGGTGAGCTTACCTCTAGGAGCCTCATTTCATCTGTCAAGTGGGGATCCTGAGAGTCCCTACCCGGTAGCGCTGTCGTGAGGATTCAATGGCATGATGTCTGGGAAGACCTAGCACGGGGCTGGGCACAGACATGGCTTGCCACGGCTGGCGTGTTCCTACGTCAGAGGGGTTCTGAAGTCCCAGCCCAGGGCTCACGCCCTGCCCTCCTCTCACGTCCGCTCACTACCCACGGGAATGGAAATCTGTCCAGTTGTAGGAGAGAGAGCAGAACCGAGGGGTCAGGGAGGAGGTGACCCCTGGGCCGCCCTGGAGCCCTGCAGCCTGGGATGGGTGGGGGTGGGGCTGAGCTCCATGTCGCCTCCAGGCGTCCTGTTCAGCATCGAGGTTTTGTCTTCCCACTACTCGGTATGGGATTACTGGAGGTGCTTCTTCGCTGCCACCTGCGGGGCCTTGATGTTTCGCCTCCTGCCTGTCTTCAACAGCGAGCAGGGTGAGCCCCGCCCACGGCCTGACCCGCCCTGCCTAGGCGCCTGGGCTGTCCCTCCTCCCCGCCCTCTCCTCTTCTCTCCTCTCTCCCCCCTCCTCTCTCTCCTTCCTCCCTTCTCCCCTCCTGCCTCCTCCCCTTCCTCTCTCTTCTCTCCACATCTCTCTTTCTTCTTTCCCGCATTCTCTCTTCCTTACCTCTTCCTTTTCCTTTCCCTCTTCTGCTCTCTTTCCTTCTTCCCTCCTCTCTTCTCTCTTTCCTTCCTCCCTCCTGCCCACCCTCCTCCTTTCTGTTCTCCCTTTCCTCTTCCTTTCCCTCTCCTCTTCCCCATCCTCCTCCCAGGAGGATGGAAGGGAGCCAGCCTTTATTGGGCATGAGAGGTGGGGGTCACTGAGGAGTAGAGGGGGTGAAGCTGGAAAGAGAGGCAGGGGCCAGGCTCTAGGGGCCCTGAATGCCAGGAAAAGGGTATTGTGGGGCAGGACCTGGCTTCACCTCCACCCTGCCTAGTAATTTTGGACTTGAGTTTGGGTGGGTAGGTGCGTGACCTCTGCACCCCACGTCCCTCCTCCCCCAGAGACCATCACCACCCTCTTCAAGACCAGTTTCCGAGTGGATGTCCCCTTTGACCTGCCCGAGATCTTCTTTTTTGTGGTGCTGGGGTGAGTGGGGGCCTCATGCCTCTCAAGGGAGCCCAGTTGGGGGCCTCCCCTAGGCCTGAACCGCTGCCTCTAGCACTGGGGAGGGGCTTGGGGCTGGACTCATCTGCCTCACACTTCCAGGGCCATCTGTGGCATCGTAAGCTGTGCATACCTCTTCTGTCAGCGAACCTTCCTTGGCTTTATCAGGACCAATTGGTTCCTCTCCAAACTGCTGGCCACCAGGTAGGCGCTGGGCTGAGGCCAGGGGCCTCTTAGGGGACCCCCTGACCCCAACTCCTCTGAGCCCACAACTCCTTTATATAGACAGCCCCCACCCGCTCACTGAACCACTACTCTCCCACTGAGCCCCCAAACCCCTCCTGGAGCCCACATCCTACTTTTGGAGTCCCACCCCCTCACTAACACCCCTTTCCAAGCCCCCACAGTCACTGATCCCACCCCTCCATCCTGGGCTAGCAACCTCCTCACTTAACCCCCACCTCCTCCCAGAGTCCTCACCCCTTCACTAATATCTCATCCTTCAATGAACCCCAATGTCCTCCCTGAGCCCCATCCCCTCAATGACGCCTTCTCCCCTCACTGAGCCCAGACCTCCCACAGAGCCCCCCTCCCTCACCCAAGTCTGCCCTCCTCCTGCCCCAGGCCAGCCCTGCACCAACCCCACCTTGGCCTGGCCTGGCCCTGTCCTTCCTCCCAGACTATCTCAGTACCCCTCTCCCATCAGCCTTGCCCCTTATTGCACCCAGTGGTGGGGGGCTGACAGATGCTTCTTCCCTCTGGGGTGGGGGCTGGCTTATTCCCCCTCCCCCCACCCCCACCCCACTCCCTTCGCTCCTCTTCCCAGCTCTGGTATTAGCTCTGGGGTTGGGGGGAAGGTGGGGAAGGTCTGCCCTTGCCCCCGTAAGGTCCTATTTCACCCTCCCTGGTGGGGAGAGGGGAGGGCTGTCACTGGAGCTAACTGTTCCCTCCTTCCCCTAGCAAGCCGATGTACTCCACACTGGCGACCTTGATCCTTGCCTCCATCACCTACCCTCCCGGTGTGGGCCGCTTCTTGGCCTCTCGGGTAAGGGGCACTGGGAGCAGAGGGGATGGGGAAGAAGGGAGCCACCATTCATTGCCCACCTTGGGCTTGCCTTCTTATTTAATCCCGGTGACACCCCTATATGGGAGCTGACTGCCATCGTTTTACAGATGAGGAAGCTGCAGCTTAGGAAGCTCAGACCTTCCCAAGATCACACAGCTGGGAGGTGGCAGAGCGGGATTTGAGGCAGGTGGGGAGGGTGGCTGGGGACTGCCTCAGCCCCCGTCATGCAGAATTCCACCCAACCCCACTCCAGCTGTCCATGAAGGAACATCTGGACTCCCTGTTTGACAACAACTCATGGGCACTCATCACCAGGAACTCGTCCCCACCCTGGCCCCCCGAGCCTGACTCCCAGAACCTGTGGTTTGAGTGGTACCACCCACGGTTCACCATCTTTGGGACCCTTGCCTTCTTCCTGGTTATGAAGGTGGGCATCTTGGGGCCACTCACCAAAGGGTGTGCATAGAGCCAAGACCAGCCCTGGATGGGATGGGGGTTGGGGGGTGCCTCCCCATGCACAGCATGCAGCCCAAAGCCAGTCCTTCCATCTAGACTCCTTGGTCTGATCTCTGCCCTCTGTGTGGCCCTAGCAAGTCACTTCAGCTCTCTGCGCTTCGGTTTCCTCGTCTGTAAAATGGGAGTATTTTACTGTATCTCCCGTAAGGGAGAGATTGAGAGAGAAGGAAAGCATACTTGGACACCCTCTTTCTCTCTGGGACATTCCCTTGTCCCCTGTCTGTAGTTCTGGATGCTGATTCTGGCTACCACGATCCCCATGCCTGCTGGGTACTTCATGCCTGTATTCGTCTTCGGTGAGTCTGGGGTCCTGGGGGTGAGGTTTAGGGTTATTGGGGTGGGGCTATGGCAGGGGCTCCTGGTCCACCCCATCCCTCCCTGGAGTAGGACCATGGCTGATCACCTGGGGTAGAGGCTGTGGGGGCCGGATCAGCCAGGCTTCCTCCTCCTTACCCCAAATCCGTGGTCAGGAGCTGCCATCGGGCGCCTCTGGGGGGAGGCCCTCTCTCTCGCCTTCCCCGAGGGCATCATGGCTGGAGGGGTCACCTATCCCATCATTCCCGGGGGGTATGCCCTGGCAGGTGAGTGGCTGGGTCCCTGCTGGGTGATCAAGCATTACGGGGCTGGGGTGAACCTGGAGTACCTGCTTCGGTTTCACATGACATGTGGGTGGTCCTTGAGCCTCCCAGTGAGCCCCCACCCTTGTGGAGGCCTGTCTCCTCCCTGAGCCCCTATCCCCAAGCCCCCATTACCCTCTCTTAGCTTCTGCCTTGTTCTTGGTCCCCCACTCCATACCCCTTACTCTTCCTTCTTCTACTCACCCAGCCTGGGCATTAGGGCACTTCCCACAGCGGCCCGCATGTGGCCTCAGGTCCAGAAACCTTTAGACAATTCCCAACCCAGCCCGTGGCCATAGCCACGTCAGCCTTGCCCTTCCATGCGGCTGGCCCTGGCCTGAGCTGCCCCACTGGGCTCTGCCCCCTGCAGGGGCTGCGGCCTTCTCAGGGGCAGTGACCCACACGATCTCCACCGCGATACTGGCCTTCGAACTGACTGGCCAGATCCTGCATGCACTGCCTGTACTGATGGCGGTGCTGGCGGCCAATGCCATCGCCCAGAGCTGCCAGGCCTCCTTCTATGATGGCACCATCATCGTCAAGAAGCTGCCGTACCTGCCATGGATCCGGGGCCGCGGCATCGGGTGAGAGTTGCCCGGCTCAGGCTGGCTGCTGGGGTGGTGGTGTCTGGGGTGGGCTGGGGGTGGCGGCTCCCTCCCTACACATGCACAAGAAAACCCACTGTGGGTGACCTTGGACATGGGCGGGGTGGGAGGGAAGGGGAGACACATGGCTGCCCTCTTGTCTCCACTGTGTGACTTTGGGCAAGTTCTCGGCTTCCTTGGGCCTCAGATAATGTATCAGTCATCAGTCCATCTTCACACCACCCACCCCTGCTGCCACCACCACCAGGAGCCATTGAGTCCTCTCCAACGCATGGTGACCCCATATGTGTAGAACTGTACTCCATAGGATTTTCAATGGCTGATTTTTCTAAGTAGATTTCCTGGCCTTTCTTGCAAGGTGCCTCTGGGTGGACTTTAACCTCCAACCTCTGGTAGCAGCCAAGCTCATTAACCTATTTGCATCACCTAAGGATTCCCTTTTCATAACATTTGTTGGGTGAGGAAATTGAGACTCAGATAGGTGCTGTGTCTTGCTCCAAGTCATACCAATAGGCACCAGATCTGGGGGACCCCTTTTCCTCTCCTCACCTCTGTTCTGTTGTGTTCACGGGATGTTGGGAGCTGGAGGAAGGAAATGGATTTTGAGGTCCTCACTTGACCAGACAGGGCTGGGGCAGCCTCTGTCCCTGGAGAAGCAGGACTAAGAGGCTCTGAGAGTCCCAGGTCCAAGATCCAGCTCACAATGTGTGCAAGCTGCTGCCTTGTTCTGAATCTCAGTTTCCCCATCTGTAAAATGGGCTAGTTACTCCAGTGGTTTTGAAAGTTTAATTTTTTTGGCTATCAAATTTTTCTAAAAATGAAATTCTTCAGGGCAGCCCGTTAGATTAAACAGAGCAAAGTGGGGCTGGCTGGGGGAGATGGGGCCCAGGGGGCTGAATCCGGAGCCAGGCCACTAGGTGAGATGGGCCCAGGTTTCTTCCCAACTTGGGATTCCTCATTCCAGGAACCCCTCAGTCCCTGCCCACACGTGAGAACCACGAGTCCCTGTTCCAGCAAAGCTCCCCAGGTCCCCTATCTCGTCTTGGGTCTTGATGTCCTCCCACCCTGTCCCTCTGCCCACAGCTCCCATGGTGTGATTGTGGAACACTTCATGAACTGCACCATCACCACGCTGGCCAAGGACATGCCACTGGAGGAGGTGGTCAAGGTCGTGACCTCCACGGATGTGGCCGAGTACCCCCTGGTGGAGAGCACAGGTGCCAGCAGGAAGTGGGGAGGAGGCATTCCCTCAGCTTTCCTCTTGGACCCCAGAGGCTCAGGCCCTGGGGAAGGATAGTCTGGGCACTGGAGCTGTCAGGTAGACCTGAATCTGAATCCAGGCTCTGCGACTTAGCGGCTGTGTGACCTTGGGCAAGTCACCTTATGTCTCTGAGCCTCAGTTTCCTTATCAGTAACATGGAGATAATAACCACCCTACCTTGGGGTGGCTGACGTGTTTAAATGAGAGGATACTTATAAAGTGCTCCGTGAACAGTACTCTTGGAATTATTAACCATCTTCCCAGGTGAATTCTAGGAACCAGGCCTGGTGTGCTTGGAGAATGGGGGTGGGATGATGGAGACACTGCTAGGGTCTTCCCAGAAGGCTTTCCTTACGCAAGCTCCCCATCAAGCATCCCCACCTCCCCATAACCTCTGTTGCCATGAGAAAAACCGTCATTTCAAAGACAAATAAATGGTGGCCCTTGTTTAAAAACACGTAAACTGAATCTTGGGGAAGGATATAGCTAGAGCTACAATTAACCTCTCCCGGCCTCTCCTCTTCTGTAAAATGAGTGATAATAGTTCCTGAACCACATGGCTGCTTGGAGGTTCCTGGGAGATGTGTGAAAAGCTAGCACAGCTGTTGGCACATAGTAGGTGCTCAGTAAATGAGTTCCTTTTTCTTTATAATGCTCCTCTCTCCCTCTCCCTCTCCCTCTCCCTTCTTCTCCACTTGTCCAGAGTCTCAAATCCTGGTGGGCGTCGTGCGAAGGGCCCAGTTGATGCAGGCCCTCCAGACTGAGTCACCTTCCTGGGCTCCAGGACACCAGGTGGGCACTAGTGGGGTATCAAGAGGGGTAAAGGGGGGCAACAGGGGTGGGGGGCTAGCTGATCTGTGGGAGAGGCAGTCTGAGAAGGGACAGCCTGGAGAAGGGGAGGCTTCCAGGCCCAGGTCCCATAACCCTCCCCCCTCCAGCAGTGTCTCCAGGATGTCTTGGCCGGGGGCTGTCCCATGGAGCCCATAACCCTACAGCTGTCCCCAGAGACCTCCCTGCACCAGGTAATGGGAAGCCTTTGGGCATGCGGCGAGACAAGGCCCCTGGGGCAGAGGGGAAGAGCCTGGTTGGGAAACTTAGGCTCCAGTTTTCCCCGCTGGCCATGTTGCTGTCCACTCCTCAGCCACAGAACGGGCATAGCAGGGCCTGCCCTCTCCCTGCCTCACTCCCAGGGGTGTTGGGATGATGCAGAAGGACTAGGGAAGTGGGAAAACTTGGGAAACAGAAGCCCCTGAGTAGAGAGAGACAGTGGTTAAAAGTATGGTTTTTGCATCAAGTCATACACATAGGTTTCAATTCTGGGTCTATCACATACATTCTCCTTATACGATCTTGGGCAAATTACTTAGCCGTTTTGAATGCGGAGTATCCCCCCCCTTCCACATACCGCCACCCTCCCTGCGGCCAACAAGCACAGAGCCTGGTGCTGCATATTTTGGGGGAGGGGCGGAAGCGGGCTGGGGATCCAGGGGTGGCCCAGACTCCTCTCTGCCGCTGGGTGATGCTGCATGGACAGGTCCTTTCTGTCTGAGGCTCCATCGGCCTCAGATGGACTCTGGGGACTCCTGGTGGTCCTGTTTGACATTGCAGGTCTAGGTCCCTGGTCTTCTACAGAGATGTGGGGAGAGGGCATGGCTGGAGCCGAGCCCTGGCCAGGGCCTCCACCTCTACTCAAAGCCCTCAGGCTGGGGAGACCTCGAGGCCAGAGGGGTGGGATGGATGCCTCCCCTGGGGTGATCATCACCCCCAGCATTTCCTGACAACCCCTCCAGGCACACAAATTCTTTGAGCTGATGAACCTTCAGTCCCTCTTTGTGACGTCGCGCGGCAGAGCTGTGGGCTTCGTGTCCTGGGTGGAGGTACCAGGGTTTTGAGGGTGGGGCAAAGTGGAGGAGCCACATCCAAGCAGGCTAGGGGCTGGGGGACATTAATATCCTTCCATCCAAATTTGGGAGCAGGGATTTTGGGATTCTGATGAGCACCCCCTTCCTGGCTCAGTCTTCCGTCAGCCCCTAGACTGGCCAGCGGGGCTTGGCTACTACTACCTTGCCACCCTCTGGACCAGCCCTGCCACTCTCTGGGCCTCAATGATCCCATCTGCGCAATGGGGAGGCACTGGCTCTAACATTTATCCCAGAATTGACCCTTGAGGGAGTCAAAGCTGGAGCCCCCACTCTTAACCTCCTGTACATTCTCCCTCCAAAAATCCCTTTCTCTGTTCTAGCTGAAGAAGGCCATTTCTAACCTGACAAATCCACCGGCCCCGAAGTGAGCCAGCCTGGCCAGATGGAAACGGGGCACTCAGTGGCCTGGTGACTGAAGTTGGCCTCTTTCTCCCTCATCCCAACACACCCCCGTGCCTCCAACCCAGCTCAACTCCTCGGCAAAACAGGCAACTGTAAGCTAGCCCTGTCCCGCTGGAACAACTTCTACATGTCTTGAAGGACAAATCCCATCCTGGGCAGAGCTCAGAGAGCTGGACAGCAGAAAGCCAGTATACAATGGGTGCTCAATGAATATTCATCAAATGCATGAATGAAGAGGTTGCTGTATACTGTCACCATGGGCAGGCACAGATGCTGTATGAGTGTTGTCTGATGCCCAACCAGAGGCTCCTGAGAAAAATAAAGCTGATCCCCAGAGCCGCTGTTCATCCCTTATCTTAGCTCCAAGGGTGTTGACTTGGCACCTTGGCTCCTTACCTGCCCTGACCCCTTGAGTGAGCTCTTGGGGCCCTTGGTGGTCACGGGCACTGCAGTCCTGGGTCCCTGGTCTCCCACTCCTCCTCATGCCTACTTCCTGGCAGGGAGATGTGGGGGAGAGGGTCCTTAGGGTAGAGCTCTAGCCAGTCCCTGTACCAGGGCTCATGACACTTGCCCTCGAGTACAGGTGCCACCCTGTAGCCCAGTTACCTTTGCCCCAGCCTCATGCTTGGCTGAGCCAGGGCTGATAGAGCACGGCCCCCGTGTGGCTCCTTGAGGAGTCTACAGAGCCTTGGGTATCCTCCATGGGACCTCCCCAGGCTGGGTGGCAGCAGGCTGACCAGCTGTGTGTGTCCCTCTAAGTCCTTCTAGATTCCCCAGGGGCCCAAAGATGACTTCCCCAGCAGAGACCAGGCCAAGATCATCCAGGATAAATCCACCACTTTAATGTCTTCAGAGAACCTCAAGGGAGATGGGAGGGGTGCTGGATGGGGAGTGGACTTCCTGGGTTGGGGGCACCCAGGAAGCAGGTTCAGAAAGTGAGGGAGAGACAGACACTCCAGACAAAGCCACAGACGTCCTGGTGAAGAGAGCTACGGAGGGGAGGCTTAGCTACCAGAAGAGGCTGCCCCACCTGTGATGGGGAGGAGAAGCACAGAGGGAGTAGAGAAGGGACTGAGCTCCCCAGGATCAAGGCAGCATCTCAAGACCCCACTGAGTGTGTCTCCCAGCCCCTTCCATGGTTTGCCTGCCTGGGGCCTGGCTGTCAGCCAGGTTGTCTGGTGTCTGCTATGAGTCCTTGAGTTCGCTGATGGTGGAAACCCTGGCAGGGGAAAGTGCCCACCTGAGCCAGGTAAAGAAGAAAGGAGAAGGGGGGTATGGCTCCTACTGCTGGGGGCAGGTCCACAGAGGCACAGAGTGGTCACAAGGAGTGCTAGCCCCCATCCCTGCCACACCCACCCTGTGCCTGCCCGAGGGCACAAGGGGTGCTCAGCCCAGCCCCCACAATGTGCCTGGTGGCCCACCAGGCCAGGTCCTGGGTGTGAGCCCCGCCTCAGTTATAGAACACCTCATCCTCCTCCTCGGAGAGGGAGCTGCTGTTCACCAAGGGCAGGGAGCCTTGAGCTGGGTCCCTCAGCAGCCGCTGCTGATGCTGCTGTTCGGGGCTGGGGGGCTGTGGGCAGGCCGCTGTGATGGGGGGTTCCTCGGGTGAGGGCCAGCCGTCAGGGGAGAGGCCAGGGGAGGACAAGGCCAGAAGACTGTCATCTTGTGAGGGGCTCAGGAGGCTGTCCTGCAGGTAGATGCTCTTCAGGTCTGGAAAACCAACAGCTGGGGGTGAGGGTGGAGTCCTGGAACCTGCCCCTCACCCTCTCCTGATGTCTGAGGGAGAGCAAGGAGCAGAGGACCTGGATCCAGATCCCTGTCGCTGCTGAGCTGTGTGACCTTCAGCAAGTCACTGAACCTCTCTGAGCCGCAGCTTCCTCCCTGGGGGTTACAGGGGTGGCGGCGGCTCAAGTCCAGTGGTTAGGTGCACAGGCTCTGGAGCAGCCTGCCTGGCCTCGAATCCTTGCAACTCTGAGAGAAATGGGACACCCAGTGTTCCTCCTGGGCCTTGCCCCCTCACCTGCCCCTCACTGTTGGAGGATTAAATGAGATAATTCGTGTGCAGGCTTCACTCAGGACCCAGGCTCACTGAAGCCTTCAGCAGTCACCTAGGGTTTTTAGAAAGGTGGCTGGTCTGCCTGGTGTTAAGGTTCGGATCCTGGCTGACGCCTCTAACTGGCAGTTTCTGAATCTCTTGCTGCCTCAGTTTCCTTATTTGTAAAATGGGGATGATAACAGGCCCTACTTCCTGGGCTGTTGTGACAATGAAGTGAAATTACACGTGAAGCACAGAGCCTGGCACACAGTAAGCACTTACATCATGTTATCTGTTATTATTATTCTCTCCCTTATGCTCATCGCATCCCCTGGGCGGTGGCTGGACAGGGCAAGGATCACCAGCCCCATCTCACAGATGAAGAAACTAAGGCTGAGGGAAGGAGGGGGCTTGCCGAAGGTCACAGTGCATTTGGTGGCAGACAAGTCATCCGGCCTCAGCTCTGCCACCCGTCCCGCCCTGGCGCCCCCCTGGGCTGTACCCTGTAGGTGGACAACGTCCTGGGTGCTACTCTCACGGTGGAGCTCCTCGTCGTCCAGGGAGGACCAGGCACTCAGCGTGGCCTCTGTGATGGCGAACTGTTCGGCAACGCCTGCGGGGGGACAGTGGGACCCAGCTCAGTGGGGACACAGGCAGAGGGTGCCAGGCTGAGCTGGCACTGGGACAGGCTGGTGGTGGTCAAGAGGGCCCACTTACTGCCCTGTCTACCCCATGCCCATTACTGCTCCCTGCCCAGATAGTGCCCATGGGCTGACCCTGCAGAGCCCCGCCAGTGCCCACCCACGCACATACCCCCACGCTGACCTGCGGCAAAGCGGGCCTCGCGCAGCTCGTCTGGGAGGCAGCAGTAATGTTCGTCCTCGGCGGACGATAGCTCCCAGCCTGACCACTGGGCACTCCAGCCCTTCCACTCTATGAGGTGGGCCACGCGGCCACGCGCCATGGCTGTGGGCTTTGTGATGTGGTCCTTGATGCTCTGCACCACCCCTGGGGGCATTGAGGGTCAGTCAGCTTAGGGCCCCACACCCCAGTATCCCAGGTCTCCAATACTTCTGGTTCACCCAACGTCCTGTACCCTACATCCATTCAATGCCCCAGACCACCGAATGCCCTGTACCCACCCAGTGTCCCATGTCCTCAAAGCCCTGTACCCGCCCAATGCCCTGTACCTATGTAATTCCTCATGCCCGGCCAATGCCTGTACCCACTCACTGCCTCTCACTCTCTCAAAGCTCAACGGCCCCATTTCACTCAGATGCTCCCCACTGCTCCCCGTGCCCTGCTCCCAGCCAATGTTCCTGCCCACCTGGTGGTTCTTTCCCAGACCCGCCACACACCCCCTTCCCTCTCTCTCTGACCAAGTTCAGACCCTTCTGCCCAAGGAGATCCATTATCCATTAATTAACAAGTTCTGACAGAGCATCTCCTGTGCCTGGGCCAGTGCCAGCTCTGCTGAAGTGTAATCTGATAGGGTAGAGCAAGCAGAGAAGACTTCCCGGAAGAGGTGGGACTGGAGTTGGGCTTTGATGGATGGGGCTGGGTTTGGGCAGATGGAGGCAAGACTGGAGGCTACTTCAGGGATGAGGCAGAAGGCATAGAAGAGTTTGGTGTGATTCCAGGACTACTGGGGTGAGATGTGGGGGCAACACCAGGACTAGGGTGTGAGGAAAGGCAGGGAACCAATCAGGGGCCAGACTAAGGGTCTGGAGAGCTAGGCTGAGGGGCTTGGATGTCTCCTTATAGCAGGATAGTAAGAAGGAGAGTGACAGGTGAGACCTGCTGTTCAGGAAGAACCTCCCAATTAGGAGGTGCAGGGAGCCACGGGTGGAGGCAGGGAGACCATTAGGTGCCATTGCAATAATCCAGCAAGAGTTACAGCAGGGCCAGGGTGGATGGGGGTGCTGGGGGAGTTCTCAGGACTAGACTAGTTGGACGTGGACATGGAAGTGACTGAGAGAGGGCTGTCAAGAATGATTCAGCATCTTCATTAATCAAGACTGAGAAACAGATCTGGGAGTCACTGGGGGTCCCCGAAGCCCCAGCATGAGAAACAGCAATATTTAAGAAAGACGAGGTATCTACGAAGGAAACTAAAGACACAGAACTCTGGGAAAATGGGAAACGTGGGGTGAGGAAGAAGGGGGAGCCCCTTCCCAATCTGGGGAGTGTTGGAGAACAGGGAAGGTGTTTTGGAGAAGGAGGTAGTGTTTAACTGGCCTCTGAAGTGCAGGTGAGGTGGAGGGAAGGTGTTTCCCTTGGAGGAAACAGCATAGGCAAATGTGGGGAGGGAAGACAGCAAGGGACACCTTAAGGAGCTGTGAGGGACTTAATAAAATGGAGCGAAGAGGCTGGCAGGCTGAGAGAGATCTGGAAGGCTGTGCTGTGGGCAACCTGGAGCCCTAGGAGCCACAGTGCTGCCTGCTGAGACCCCCTTTACTGGCCTGCGTGCCCATCCCCAAGCTGCTTCAGGCGTTGGCTGCTATTGGCTCACACCTGCACCTTAGCTGATGGGAGATGCCTCGCCAGAGATGCCTGGCTGGGGCAGCCAGCAACTGACTGATGTGCATACAGAAGCCCAGCCACCCTGCCTCAAAGTGTGATAAATCCTACGGTGTAATTCATGCTCCAGGGCTCACCCTGGGATCAGGCTGAGTGAGAGTGGGCTTCTCTTGCAACTGCATCTTTGTTGAGTGCTTGCCCCTACCATTCCTCCTCCCCTCACTCCCTGCAGGCCTCTCCCAGAGCTCCCCTCAATAAATCACCTGCACCACCATTCCATCTCAGCTCTGCTTCCAGAACTGAGCTAACGGCCCTGACTGGCAGACTGAATCTGCCGCGGACAGCCAGGGAGACACCATCAGCAGACATCTGGAAAGTCTGGACCGCCCCCTGAGAGCTTCCCTAGGACCCTGGCAATTTAACCCGTGGGAGCATGAATCTTGAGGAAGGCACCACTCTCCCCAGACCCAGCTTGGAGCTCGAAGTCAAAGAAATGTTGAATCCAAAAAGGCTGCAATCTTCCAGCTGCAATCCCGCTTTGCCTCTCCCACAGCGAGTATCTAGGAGGAGTGTTGTTGTTGGGCTGCTGTCCAGTTGGCCCCCAACTCACAGCAACCCCAAGCACAACAGAAGAAAACGCTGCCTAGTCCTGTGCCATCCCCATGATGGGTTATGGAGCGGACCATTGTGATCCATAGGATTTTCATGGGCTGATTTTCAGAAGTAGATCACCAGACCTTTCTTCCTAGTCAGTTTTAGTGTAGTAGCTCCACAAGCTCCACTGAAACCTCATAGCAACACACAAGCCTCCACTGACAGATGAGTGGTGGCTGCGCTTAAGCTGCATTGGCCAGGATCTCTCGCACAGAAGGTGTGAATTCTACCACTGAACCACCACGGCCCCCAGTGTCTAGGGGTAGGCCAGTAAACTCAAAGGGCAAGAGAGGGGCAGCTGGCACCTACCCACAAGAGATGAGGTGGCCAGGGCTGCCACGTTGTAGTTGCTGGAGCAGGATCTGGAGTCAGACAGGTAGCCATTGGTGGTCTGGAAGCACCTCTGTAGGAAGGGGAGGAGAGGTGAGAGGGTGTGAGACCTGCCAGAAGACATCCCCCCACCAATACCACCTCCCAATCCCCAGCCCACCCCAGAACCCCTGGGCAGTGGGAAGGGACAGGGCAGGGAAAGCCAGGGAGATCCTACCAACTCCCACAGGGTCACCCCCACCCCGCTGTCTTCATCAGCTCTTCTTCCCCAGAGTTGGCAGGATTGTGTGCCCAGGCTGGGCACAGCAGACGGGACAATGGTGTCAGCTATGGCTGGCTAGGCTGGGGCACAGGCAAGTCCACTGACCTGCCAAGGATCCCAACAGAAATCCATCTGTTTGTCCTAAAACAAGAAGAGAAAGAGGATAGGGCAGGGCCTGGCACCCTGGGCCAGCAGATGGCAGAGTCCTGGAGCCCTGGGTGGTGGTGCGGGTCAGCCTCTGGTGCTCTGTGAGGCCAGGGTCAGCCCACTTTTGGGTCATGCCCTAGTGTCCCATGCAGAGAAAGGAGGGGGAAGGCAATGGTGGCACTGCCAGGAGAGGCAGTGGGTGTAGGGGATGGATCAGACCTGGGTTCGAGTTTTGGCTCTGCCATTTCCTAGCTGAGTATCCTCAGAGTAGTGACTTAACATCTCAGAACCTCAGGTTCTTCCTCTGTAAAATGGGAACAATGCTACTTACCTGGAGAAGCATAAATAACATAACACAGGCAAAATTCCTAGCACAATACTTACCGTGGGGTATATGCTAAAAAAAAGGAGGGGGGGGGGAAGGGATTATCTACTGGTAGGTTCAAGCCACAACCCCTAGGGCAAGGGTGGTAATTATGCACCAGGATTTGGAGCCCCTAGCAAGCTCTTCCTAATCCATATGGACTGAGAATTCCATTCCAGGGAGCAATACAGGCTGCTAAGGAGTTGTGGGCCAGTAGCAGAACTTGTTATCTGCAAGGCTGAGTTAAATTGGGCGAAGAAGACCTTCAGGGCAGAACTCTCTTTTCTAAACAAGCCTGGTCCAATCCCTGGATGCCCAGCACAATTCATCTGGCTAAATGCCTTAGGGTCCCTGATCCCACAGGAAGTAGCCAAGTTTGGCAGGGAGGGAAGGAAATTGGAATGATTTCTGCTCCTTATGGGGAGCTGCAAACCAGGAACCAGGGCACAGGCAGGGGTGCAGGGAGGGATGAACAGTGACCAGTTACCTTGCCAGTGACATGGTCTGGAGCAATGGTGGGTGAGTGGCTGGAGGGCAGGTCTGGGTTCAGGGGGTCTGTGCCCTGGGGCATGGGGCAGTCCTTGTGAGCACTTGTGAACAGATCTGGAAATAAAAATGACAGGAGGAATTTACAAAAGCTCAGCCTCTACTGTTTACAAAACCCTTACTTACATCAGGCCTGCGTGATGAGT